TAACATTTAAATAGTATCAAGATCAGAGACCATAAGTCAGTACTAGAGTTAACATTTAAATAGTATCAAGATCAGAGACCATAAGTCAGTACTAGAGTTAACATTTAAACAGCGTCAAGATCAGAGACCATAAGTTAGTACTAGAGTTAACATTTAAATAGTGTCAAGATCAGAGACCATAAGTCAGTACTAGAGTTAACATTTAAATAGTATCAAGATCAGAGACCATCAAGTGTCTCCAGCCAATATGGTTGAGATTTATATTTTAACATAAAGTTTAAGAATGATGAGGGACCTGTTGTTTCATCTATGCTGCCCTCTTCACGAAACAAAATGTAAAATAAACTCAAACTAAATATTTATAAAGCCTTTCCTCACATTCCAGAAAATATACTTCATTTACTACACCTGAAGCTAACCCATTCCAAATACTAACTATTTTGTTCACAAAATATAGCTGTTTTAGTTGAAGATGACTCTTACCTTGCCAAAATTTATACTTGTGTACCTTTGTTCTAATATTTTCACCATTAACTATGAAAAAAGATGATGCATCAGTATTATCAATTCCTTTAATCTTAAACACCTCAATCACATCCCTTTAACTTCGTTTATCAGAGAAAACAATTTCTATCCCAGAATAATCCTAGTTAGAGCTAGGTGATCAATTGATATATTAAATTACCTAGAGCAGTGATTACTGTCACATAAATTGATAGCTTAATTGAAATTATGATTAAACTGAGTTTCATGAAAATAACTAATTGAAATTAGTGTTTCCAAATATTTCTATTTTTGATTATTCAAACAGTTGATTAATTGAACTTACGATTATATAGATTGTCACAAAAATAATAACTAAACAAAATTAGGCTTTTCAGTTTTTCTAACTATCCAAGTAATTGAAATATTGCCATTACATTTGTTTGTTTTTAAACACAAATCTACACGTGGGCTATCTGCCTACTACTGCTATCAAAACTCAATTTTAGTGTTATAAGTTTTTTTTCACTTCAAGTTTATTCAGCTTTGGGCCAGCATAGCTTGTTGAATCGAGGGCCTGTGTTATGGCAAAGCTATCTCCTATTGTCACTAAATTTGAACTGCTGACTAGAAGAAATGCAAGTGGCTAGCTGGCAGCACACACTACCAATGGTTTGGTTATTTAAGTATAAAATAAGTGTAAAGTTACTGTTTTTTGAAATTGTGTTATGTTTTTAATTTATAATTGTGTAACTGTATTTAATATTGTATAAGCAGGCATGAATCTATTTTTAAAAATCAGTTAGGCATCCTTACACTACTATTGTATGAACCAGAAACATTAGATGTAAGTGCTTTCATTTGATTGTGCTATTAAAATTGATTGTTTCAAAGCTAATACAACAATATGAACAACTATAAAACATTGCCATAGTAAATTTTCCTGCCCTCGCATTTTTCAGACACTCTAACAGTGTTTCTAGACATTAGAGATTTGTTGTTATCAAAGTTCCTATTAATAGTTTCGTTTTGAGTTTACTTACTGAATGAGTATTATTTTATTACAAGTTATAGCCTTTACAGTTCTAAAACAAATCTTCCTTACTGTAAAAGTTGTAATAGAATAAAAGTTCCTGTTGTTTAGAATGCCTGCAGTTCGTATGACATATACTTGTTACAGTGTCAATTTTTCATTGTTTAAAAGTTAGGATGCTTGTGAGAAAGATGTTTTTCATATTGATGATGTACATATAAGTGAAAAATGCAAATGGTATGACTGTATGAATAACACCTTTATATATATATTTTAAATCAAGCATCCTGTTTAAAAACCATTGTGGTATTTTTTTTATAAATATGATTATAAATAATTATAGCTATTAAATTTCAGTTAAAAAAAATGAAAGTTTGTTTTATCTGTTTTTATTTTCATATCAGTCACATTACTTTGAAATTGCTAGGTTATAACCCAACTAGGTTATTATTGTGGAAGTCTTGTTTCATGTAAAAAATATTGAAATTGGTTACAGTTTACAGAGCTAACTTTTAGAAAGTTAACTGGTATCATAACATCATTGT